GTATTATATAACATAAACAGAGCTTTATCATTAAATAACTCTTACTTTATACAGTACTGCAATAGATGTATCTATTTTTATTCTTCGATTAAAACTTCACCTCACTGACTTTACAGATCTCAACACCATCGACTCTAATGGAACATCAGCAGTTCTCTTTCTGTTGATGAGTAGTTAGTTTTATCTAAATTTAATGATAATTTATTAAGTTTAAACCAATTTTCACAAATTCTGTTTGCATCATCTCCAACATCCTCTTTTATATATTTACCCAAACAAATAAATGTAGAATCATCTGCAAATAAAACACATTTAAACACATTTACCAAATCATTCACATACAAAATAAACAACTTTGGTCCAAGTACAGAACCCTGAGGAACTCCACATGTGATGTTACAGATTTCAGATCTTACATAATTCATTTGAACAAACTGTTTCCTGTTTTTCAAATAATTAGATATCCACTGTAGTGCTGGTCCTCTAATGCCATATTTATTTAACTTTTCAAGAAGAATATTGTGGTCATTGGTGCCAAAGGCTTTCTTTAAATCAACATAAATACTAAAAAAATACTGTTTTTGATCAACAGCTGTTGTTTTTTGTTCTATTAATTCCGTGAGAGCCATTGATGTAGAGTTATTGGTTCTAAACCCATAAATTGATCTAATCTGGTCACAAATAATYGCTCTAAAATTTTCAACAAAATAAAAAGGCTAAAACTGATAAAAAAACACAAATCCACATTTCTGATGTAACTCAAGCTGAACTTGAATTAAAAGGCAGTGAAAAAACGGTGAGTTTTCACCTGTGATTTAAAAGACTGAACAGACTCTGCAGTAAGAATCTGAAGAGGCGAGTGCTCCAGAGTTCAGGGGTCCAAGCCCCTCTGTACTTCAGTTTAGCCTCTGAGGCACTAAAAGGTGCTCAGTTCTCTGTTCGTGTTAGAAAAGAGCCAATAAATAAAAAATAACTGGGAGCCARACCATTTCAAACTTTAAAAGTAAGTAAAAGAATTTTAAAGTCAGTGTGGAAACAARCAGGCAGCCAGCTTAGTTCAGCTAAAACCGGATCGATGTGGTCCTGCAGGTCCTGCCTCCTGGGTTCTGGACTAACTGCAGACCATTGTACCAAACCAACAGAGAAAGAGTTGCAATAGTCCAAATGCAAATTACAAAATGATTCCAGCACTTTTTTTCTACTTCCTTTTTAAAAAATAAAGCGTTAAAGAGATGACTCCAATAAATGAAGCAGGTCCTCTGGATGGGTTCTCCTGGAGGAGAGATGACACGTTTCATTAAAGAAGAGCAGTCCAGGGGACCTGCTTCATGTTTGTGGACTTTTCTACCTGGATTACGGAGATGCATCAGGAGATTAATGAAGGTTCTGAAAACCAGAATATTCAGCTGTGAGATTAAATCATTCGGAGTCATTTYTGTCATTTATGTTTTATAAACATCCTGAGAACGGCTCCTCCAGGTGTTTTATTTTAAAATAATCAGTTTGGTGTTCAGATGACTTGGTTCACTTCACCTGATTGGTGGAAGGAAACCTTTGTATTTACCTGTGGAAGTGTTGTTTTGAGGATCACCTGTGCTCACCTGACTTTTCAGCTCTAGAACATTCCAGAGCTCCTCTGTAAATTTGGTTCTGATCAACATCTGAGGATGGATCAGAAGGTTTTAGCTGGCCTGCCTGCTGATGCTTTTAGCAACAACTGGACCTGATTGTCTGGACTCAGAACCATCTGTAGGCTGCAGCCCAGCTCCTGGACTGGACCTCAGCAGGACTTCCTGTGTTTCATCTTCCTCAGCAGCATGTTGAAGTCACACTAATGTTCTGATCTCATTGTGTGGTGTTCAGGGTCAGGTCTGAGCTGAGCTCGTGTCAGTAAAAGATGAGCACACATTTCTTCATTAAGGTGTACCAACCCTGAGGACTCCTGTCTGAACTCAAAGAATGACTTTAGATCAATACAGGACCACAGACCTGGATATCAGTGTCAGCAGATCCAAAAGATCTGAGATTCCCCTCAATTCAGATGTGCAGGACTGGTCATGTGATCCACGACTGGTCATGTGATCTAAGACTGTTCATGTGATCCACGACTGGTCATGTGATCCAAGACTGGTCATGTGATCCACGACTGGTCATGTGATCCACGACTGGTCATGTGATCTAAGACTGGTCATGTGATCCAAGACTGGTCATGTGATCCAAGACTGGTCATGTGATCCAAGACTGGTCATGTGCTCTAAGACTGGTCATGTGATCCAAGACTGGTCCACGACTGGTCATGTGATCTAAGACTGGTCATGTGATCTAAGACTGGTCATGTGATCCAAGACTGGTCCACGACTGGTCATGGGATCTAAGACTGGTCATGTGATCCAAGACTGGTCCACGACTGGTCATGGATCCACGGCTGGTCGTATGATCCAAGAC